TAAACTTGTGTCTATGTTCTGAAAATAAAGAATTAAGTTATTATTTTTTTAATTAGTAAGAGGTAAAATCAAACAAAAAAATCAAAATTATTTAACTGGTTAGATTTTGAATATTAGACAACTATCTGCTGCCCGCCACTACGTCTGCGTAGAATAGACAGAAGGTGTAACTTTCAGACAGAAAGACCTAGCCTATGTCTTATTCTGACGTATAAGCAATATTATTGGAAAGTTTCATTAAAATCCATCTTGTAGTATTTGCGTGAAAGACTAACAAACATCCATCCAAACATACAAACTTTCGCATTTATAATATTAGTAAGGATTATTAACAAGCCAAAATAAGATCTTTACTTAATTAGAAAAATCCGGTGCTTGCGCAATTATATTGCAGATAACTAAGGAGGCGCCTGCTCAGAAAAGCGAATATCCTGTTCATTACAAAAAAAAAACAAAAAACAAAAGGGAAGCAAAAAAAATCACCTTTGTACTCGTGTCTTATGCATCAGACCGTAAACACACGTCTTGGTCGCGTGCTAGAAACAAGGGCCTTCATAACGAGTTTTTGTAGTAGTATCAAGTTTAAAATTCTTTTGTTGACTTAAATAGTAAAGCCCCAATCATTTTTATTTAATTATTATTATTATTTGTTAGATTTTAAAAAGCATTGAAGACATTTTCTTAGGGTTTTGTGATATATGATTTATTTTTTCAAAAAACAAATATTGTCAATACCTTTTGCTGTTCGTGCCATGCATCCGAACGAGAAAAGTTAAAAGGTTTCCTTTAAAGTTAAAAGAAGTATCATATTCACACTGTAATTTAACCCACCTTTTTCTGTGCGAATTTTCAAAGGGATAACTCTAAGTTTCTAAACCGAGTGATCTTGAAAGTGACTCGGCTGATGTTAATAAGAACTCCGCAATCCCCAATGTCACTTTTACCTTTGAATTTTTAAAGTCACTGCTTTCAGCGAAGTAAAACTTTTCTATGTTCGGGTTACTGTGAATGCCACGAGTAAAGACAAAAAAATATTTTGATATTTTGCGGCATTTGCCTTGAGCTTGGGTCACGAATACTAAATAAAGTCCAGCTCAGTCAATTTATGTATGTGGAAATATGTATGACGAATAAAGGATAGAAAATAAATATTATAATTATGTTATAATAAATATAAATTTGTCAATCTGCCTACCCTATAGGCATATTATATGCATATTTATAAGATTTTTAAATATCAGTTTTTGTATTAAAAGCTGAAAGGTCGCTTGATATAATTTCTGTTACATTGAGAAAATAACTGTTATAATTCAATGATTTTCAAATAGCCTCTTCATATGTACGTAGACCTTAACGTACCCCTTATTTTACTTTTGCGGATACATTTTCAGAGAAGGTAAAAGAGTGTAAGAGTATGACGAAGTTTGTAGAACTTATCCGCTTTGATTTGCATAACACGAGGAATGTGCTTCTTAAGCATCACGATCGTATGGCTCGAACTTTGAGTGATCTTTCTTTAAACTTTTCTTGACAACTGGTTTAAGATGTCTGCAAATATAGTACAGTAAAGAAATATTAAATCGTATGAGAACAAGAAAAAAATAACAAATTATTCTTTGTTTTTCACTACAATATGTAGTAATATATTAGACATCATCATTCATTCATCAAAGATTATTGACATATTATCATAGATAGGTAAAGCCATTTAATATAGTTTTTAATAATAGCCAAAATAGCTTTACTTACCTATTGCCGATGTTGGAGAATGAGGCTCCAAACTAAGGCCAACGCCTGTCGCATCTAGTCATCAAATCGCCACCCCTTATTACTTTGACAGTTCATTACCAGTTTAAAGATTCCAGAGTTTATATTTTACCGTGAGAGTTAATGGGAAGAACAATATTCTACTTTATAAAGTGTAACATGCATAAATATAAATTAAAAACTAACCCTTAATTTTAACTTGACGTTCATGTGTGTGTATTTAGGAATTGTGTGTAATAAAAATAGTTGGCTTTTTGTGAGTTCTTTTGTCTTTTGTTATAACTCAGTGTTCGGAAAACGATATGGTACTAAATGTGACACTCTTAGAATTGTACGCTAGGTTCTTTCAAGTTCAAGAATGATGGGTGCACCTACCCAAGAAGTACTTGTGTAAGTGAGAAATGATTACATAAGTGAATAATATACTATTTATGGTTCCATACCCAAAGGGTAAAACGGGAACCTTAGCAATCTAAGACTCCACTGTCTAGTCTATCCGTCTATCACCAGGCTGTATCCCAGATTGTGTTAGTTAGACAGTTGAAATTTTCACAGGTAATGTGTTTCTTTTGCCGCTATAACAACAAATATAAATAAAACAGAATAAATAAATATTTAAGTGGGGCTCAAATACAACAGACATGATTTGACTCTAACTCTAAATGTTAGCATATCAATATTGAATTCAATTTGAGTACTATTAAAGTCTTTACTTTCGACCACCATAGACCAAAAGTACAATTTAATCAGCAAACGGGATATATTTTCCTTTTTGGAAGCATTCGGTATACAATCTTATAATATGCACATAGTATCGGATTAAAGTCTTTAAATTGAGACAGGATGGATAAAGTAAGATATTGTTTGGTAGATATTATGTTAGAAAACTTATGCTAAATCAAATGTTAGCGTCGAAGTAATAAATAATGAATAAATGTTTTCTTGATAAAGAATAAATGACTGATGATATCGTATATGTGGTTGCTATTCTAAAGCATACTGCTTGAAAAGTAATTTGAATTGTCTTCATTTTAGTTTAGAGTCAATCAATATTTAAGAACTAACTAATCTATACTATTAAATTAATTTAAATTATTTTATAACATTATAAATGTATAATTTATGTCATAATTCTTAATTATTAATAGAGTTTATAGCAAATATAAACTCTTACTCTTAGTTTCATGGTTAAAATACTTAGGAACCCTACAATATTTGTTGATTTCTTTGTCATATTTTTCTCATTTTATGGTAGATACCGAATTACTTGCACTCAACTACCTCAGTGTTTGAGTTGCGTCTGGAATCTGAAATTCATTTATATTGTTGCAGTATTGCAGTTCCCCGTAGCGCTTTTAAATCAGATTAAACGATATTTTTTTGCCATATCGACACCACGAGGCGTCATTATTAAATTTCATGAAGTATTAGTATTTTTGTTTTATTTATGTTTATATTTAATTATAATGTATATGACTATATTAATAATAATACTAATATTTTTATTCATAATATTTATTTTATATATGCAATATATATCCATATCCATTTCCATTTATCCGTTACCGTTTATCCATAAACCCAACCAGATGAGAAAACAAATAAATATCCCCAACATACTAATAGTATAGGCTACCTTTAGTTTAATAAATCAAAGTCATTTAAGGCTGTAGCTATATAATAGTTTTGTGTTATTTAACTAGACAGTCTCCTTGACACAAAGAGTAAAGTAAAAAGTTCCTGCTTAAAGTAAAAAAAATCTCACAATAGTTATAACTATTAAAATATCTGGATATAACATTTGAGATTTTTGTATTAAGAAGAATTTAAATCATTCCTAATTTTTTTGTATAACGGAATGATTACGATATGAGTATAATTTAAGAGCTGTGATGGCTCAGTGTCTGGACGGTCGCCTTAAATTTAATATACTCGAGCAATCTGAGTTCGATTCTCAGTGCCAGCACCAATAAAATTAATTTTAAATGCAGACTTATCACGTGCTCAGCGGTGAAGTAAGACATCATGATGAAACCTGCATATTTTCGAAATAATAAAAAAATATTTCAAAAATATGTGAAGTCCGCCAATCCACAGTGGGGTCGTGTGGTGGACTATGCCCTGATACCTATGATCATATATCCATATACTGATGGATCTTTACAGAGGAGGCCTTTGCCCGGCAGTGGGACATTCATAGGCTGTTACTTTCATGAAAGAAAATTATGAATTTCCAAATCAGTTTCTGAATGTCTTCTCAAATATACATTTTGAAACTACCAGATATTTTCAACATCCCATAGAGGCATAAAAATTATCTTCATCATCATCATCAATTTTCAGCATCAGCATTCAATATTTCAGTCTCTAACACCTGGATACATTGTTTTATTTATAGGTAGTTTATAAGCATTATGTTGATAGTTTTTTGACGATCGATAAGAGCTTAAGATAAGCTTAGATTCAAAAATAATGACTTTGACTTGTAACGCCCAGGTGGAAAACTTAAACAATTGATGAGAACATTAGATGTTCGTATGCGTAGAGTCGTGTTATCTCTTACACTACCTATGTATCTGTCGTATCAGTTTTAGTGGAAATATGATTGTATGTTTACAGCATAATGTTGATACTCGTATTTGTAATTGGATAGAATACGCTGCGACTCCGATGATGGGAAAAAATTGACAAAATTGAATTACAAATGTTCGGCAAATACAAAAACTAAAAACAAAGCTTGACGTCCGGTAAAATCAAATTGTAAATTGCCCCTGTTTCAAACAATTTACTTTTCATCATTAATCCGTTAATAGTAAAATATGTACAAGCGAATTGGTATAAAACTATAAATAATCAAAGTCAAAGTCAACATTTTAATATTGAAATGTGAAATCATTCAATGAACGTCCAAAAACTACCACCATAATGCTTATAGGCTATAAATAAAACAGTGTCTCCAGATGTGTCAGTAAATATAAAATCACTAAGTGCACTGTCATTAAACTTTAAAATATATATAGTAAGCCTAGTTTGGTTAGCGTTATTGAGATTTTATAAACTCTCAATAATATTACTAATCACTCCAGTGATTTGAGTTTATTCCATGTAATTAAAAAGTAATGTATTCACTTACAATTACATGACAACAAAATGCAGGCCAAAGATATATAAAAATTTAAAAATAAAATGTGATAAAATTTTAAGAAAAATAAAAATGAAAATAGTGTACTTACATTGCAAAACTAATATAAAATGCATTAAGCACCACATTTTATCTGTTCATAAGTTTTCAATGACAATCTAGTAATCACATACAAATTAACACTTTAGTTTAAATCAACACTTTAGAAAAACTTCCGAATAAACGTAAGGTCCACTTAGAGAGAACAACTAGAAAAACATAAACTTTATGTTGTACGCTTAAAATTCCTCTCTATTCCGAATTTTAACGTGAAAATGTGTGTTTCACTGAGCTAAGCTTTAAAACTTCGAAGTTAACGGCATGTAAAGTCAACCAGTTGTTTCCGTTCCCTACGTGTGTGGGGTTCGAACCCGTGCTTGAAACTAACCGCCAAAGTAACTGGCGTCCGGTAACAAGCCAACCATATCGGAAGCATTCACTGCATTGTGTTGTTATTGACTAATACCCTGGCACTGTAAGTAAAGTTTTAATAAAGATCCTAAGCTTTTATTATAAAAAGATATTTGATACCTATTAAATAAGCCTTATGTTGGTTTACTCTTTTACTTACGGCCAACTGCGATAAAGTAATTAGAAAAGAAGAACGTACGAAAGTTACTGTTATGATTGATCTTAAATTATTTTATCTCAATAGTGATACCAACACAATGGGTGGAATACGTTATAAATGGTGCCTTATATTAGTCACCCTATTATTATTCCACAAGTTAGCGGCGCAATAATGCCGATACGTGCGCCTTCCGGAAGATATTCATTAACTTAGGCATAACACGAAGCGTTTCTACTTAGATACTACTTACGCTGTGACGTTCAAATAACATAACGTTCTTTTGCACTGCCAATTTTTTATTATTCTGTTGTTCCATTATACTATTTATACCAAGTCAATAAGGTTGTAGATTATTTTGGTTGCTGCCCGTTATTAGGGTTTGCGCATATTCAAATTTATTATATAATTAATATGTTTATTATCTGTTTTATGTTTATTATTTATTATAAATAAATAAAATATTAATGTATTATATTACAAGATACTTAAAATTGCAATAGCATGTAATTGTAAATGTAGGATAGGTCTTTAGCAACAGAAAAAAGTTCACTTAGTTACTTATTTATATTCCTTTGTTTTTGGATATATGTTATATATGCTACTTAACATAAATATTAACATTAGTTTTAACAAAATATTGCTCAATACCTACTGGAGTACTACCAAAAGATATTATCTTAATATACTTAATAGATATTACAATAATTTTTTTTCGAAGCATTAGTATTTAATTAATACGCCATAAATATTTTGTATATAATGATTGAGTTATTTTATGATTTATATATTTCTATAGATTCTAGTGATTTGATCAAAATGTTGATTGATTCTAACTATGCACGTTTACATACATATATATTAAAGCCACCACAAAAACACCACTTAATTATGGAATAAATGAGATTTATTAAAAGTTAATTTTTGTATATGATTAGCTGCCACGCAGTAGCCTCGGCTGGTGCACGAATGAGCAGGCTCGTCCGGGTAAGTACTACGACCTCACAGAAGACCGGCGTAAAGTGGAAGTATGACAAATACTTTCGCGTTTCGTCTGGTGAGTGACGAGCCGGAGCCCAATTTTCAAAGGTTGTCAACGCATCTGTAACCCTCGGGTGTAGCAGATGTCCATGGGCGGTGGTATTCACTTAACATCAGGTGAACCGCCTGCTCGCTTGTCAACTTTTCATATAAAAAAAAGAAAAAAAAATGATGCTGTTTATAGCATCTGTGGTTTAACCAATATAGAAATTACATATTTTGAAACCCTAAAAGAATAGTTTGATTTCCTTTCCAACTGAAAATAAAACTCAAATAAAGCAAGAACAATCGAATATCACCGCTCAGTTGGCGTCACAGACAATAAATAAAATTAGGGCAGTTAATTAATATTTATCGGCGTCGCCTGCTGCGTCCGGTACGTCGTCCTTTCTTTTCTATTGAATCAATTCATTTCGAGCCGAGAGCGGAATCGACCGAAGCTTATTTGCTTTTTATCGTCCATTATTGCCCGTATTGAAGTTCATTTCAAACGTAATTTAATTAAGTCTGTTGTAATAAATAATGAAATAAAATTCCGATTACCCGTGCTTGGTGAAACCCACATCAAATTTAATTAACAAAAAAATAATCAAAGATATCCTTCCATTATCGAGTCTGTAATACTCGTATTGTAATCATCTGATTTATGTCGTTAAAAACTAATTAAATTGATTGTAATCTATAACGCTTTACGTCCACCGTGTTCACACACCACTGTAGACAACATGTGGAAGAATTTAATTGCAGTTATTGTTATTATTGTCCCAACGCCCATACAGTGCATATTTAGCCTGCGTTCCAAACGAGTGGCACGGACGTCCGGCAAACGTCCTGTATCCGTTACGTCACGCCGGGTGCACGTCACCCCCAGTCCCCCCATAGGACACTCCATTTTTCGATGGGGTCGTAAGCATATGTCAGTCAATAGCTTATCTAAAAGATTTATTTATATAAATGACCTATCTATCTTAACAGAAAAGAGAGATGGCTAACTATCTTAACAGAAAAGAGAGATGGCTAGTTTTAATAACCATTTTTTACCAAGAAATCGGATCTCAACATCAAATTAACATTAACTATGTTTATAAGTCTCGCTTATGTGCTATCGTCTACGGTTCTATCGCTTTATTACAATGCGATATAAATATCTACACAGTATCAAAGTTATCGAAGTTATTGTGAAGCCTCTCTTTCTGACAGCGAAAATTCAATTATAGCGCGCTAGGTTGGAAATCAAATATATAAGAATATATGTAAGAACATATCACAATATATTCAGATCGACACACTTGCATGCAAAATAAGTAGAGAATATTAAGAGAAGCTCATATAAACCATAGTTTCTAGTTCAGCCACGTCCTTTTTAAACATTGGTTAAATAATAATTTTTTCTCCAGTCAGATAACGTTAGTAGACGGGTTAATTAAAAAATTATTTTGCATGGTAAATCTTTAATCAACAGGAAAACTCTTATTTTGTTCGAATAGTGATGCTGATTGAAAAATAATTTAATTACCGAAGTTTAACAGCGCTAAGTCGTTACGTTACGCTTTCTTAATTTTATATATGTACGAGTATGTCTACGTTCATTAAACTAAATGTCTCGTCAATTACTAAATACTAAATACTACATATTATATATTTATATATATTTTATAAATAATAAAAAAAAATACAAAAATACGTTTGTACAGAGAAGGCCTTTTTCCATCAGTGGAACATGTATTGGCTGATACTTTACTTTTACTATACACGTTTTCAGGATTTACATCTCTCAATTTGGTGTACCGATCTCAACGGTCGGTGGCACATTGAAAGCAAGAGGTAGCTAAAAATTGAAGTTCCTATTGGAGTAAAAAAAGTCGTATCATCCGCAAAAAGCGCGAGTTGACGTGTGGGTCTCTGAGTATGTCACTTGTGAAGCGAAAAAAGCAAAGGGGAGGAAATTATTGCAATTTGGAGTAGTTTTAAAAAGGATACAAAAGTATATATTTTCGAAATAATTGAAGCAATTGTCATAAAAGAATAACATAAATCGTGATAAAATTTCGATATAACTCGTAAAAGTTGGACTATCTTAATTTTTTTTACGATGGTAATGGTAACGAGGTTTACTGGTAGTAATCAATAAACTTTACGTAAAGACTACAAGCCACTTTTAATGCTTATGCCTAATTTTTCAATATAATTGATAGATTATGGAATCTGAAGTTGTCTCTGCATTGATATTTCTGTCCTTAAGCTCTGTCTCTAATTGTAGGAAATTTATCACTAGCGAGGACTATCCCATGCCGTAACGTCTTAATGTTAGATTTAGCTGTGCTAATCCCATAATGATAAAATTAAATTCAAAACACTGCTACTAAATACAGAAAAACCATAAATTATTTTTGCGTTGATCAGAATAAACTAAATATTATATAGCCCATCTTTGACTTTAGGATGTGATACAACCATTCTATCCCGTGGCCCGTAAATAATAAAAAAAATACAAAAATACGTTTGTACAGAGAAGGCCTTTTTCCATCAGTGGAACATGTATAGGCTGATACTTTACTTTTACTTTACACGTTTTCAGGATTTACATCGACTCTCAATTTGGTGTACCGATCGCCAAGGCGGTCGGTGGCACATTGAAAGCAAGAGGTAGCTAAATTGAAGTTCCTATTGGAGTAAAAAAGAGTCGTATCATCCGCAAAAAGCGCGAGATTGACGTGTGGGTCTCTGAGTATGTCACTTGTGAAGAGCGAAAAAAGCAAAGGGGAGGAAATTATTGCAATTTGGAGTAGTTTTAAAAAGGATACAAAAGTATATATTTTCGAAATAATTGAAGCAATTGTCATAAAAGAATAACATAAATCGTGATAAAATTTCGATATAACTCGTAAAAGTTGGACTATCTTAATTTTTTTTTTACGATGGTAATGGTAACGAGGTTTACTGGTAGTAATCAATAAACTTTACGTAAAGACTACAAGCCACTTTTAATGCTTATGCCTAATTTTTCAATATAATTGATAGATTATGGAATCTGAAGTTGTCTCTGCGTTGATATTTCTGTACTTAATCTCTGTCTCTAATTGTAGGAAATTTATCACTAGCGAGGTCAAATATTATCCCATGTTGTATCACGTCTTAATGTTAGATTTAGCTCGTGCTAATCCCATAATTCATAAAATTAAATTCAAGCACACCAACACTGCTAGACTTCAAGACACCATAAATTATTTTTGCGTTGATCAGAATAAACTAAATAATTAAATAACTGACGGTAGCCCATCTAACTTTGACTTTAGGATGTGATACAACCAGTCTATCCCGTGGCCCGTGGTTTGAATGGAAATTAAAACGAAATGACATCTGTAAAATAGTTTCATTTAAACCCATGTTCTAAAAGCAAGCATAATTTAAAAAATTGCGAAAAAGCTATCAAAGATTTGCAATTTGGGTACAAGGAATTCAAATAATAAAAAACATATG